GACAGCCACCAGGCTGTACGCGCCCTATGAGCTACTCCACCCTTTGCCCTACCTCAGCACCCCCGAGCTCCGGAGGCGAGAGTGTGAGGGGGAGAGGGGGGACTCTGCACCTATCAGTACTCAAGATTTACCTTGGGTGGTGGACCTTCCTCACCTCGGTAAAGATTGCATTGGATGCACTCCTGAAGAGGCTGTGTGCGGCTTTAGTCATTACAACGCTAGCAGCTGGATGGCACCCGTAAGGGGCGAGTTCCCTTGGGCTAGTCCCAAACTTGGTATGAAGCGTACACGGTCGAGCGAATAAGGGCCATTGGGGTGGGTTATTTTATTTTTATGAATTTTCAAATCACCGAATGAAAAGGGCTAGTTCATAGACCGTAACACAAATGCACGCGCGCACATAAGTGGTAATGAATGACTACCACGAAGTAAACATGAGGAATGGATTAATTTTCAGGGTTGGAAGATTTTAATTTTTCTATTGACATTGTTTAATATTATTAATACTAACTATTGGTTAGTTATTTTCTTGCATTTTTTCTCCTTTTCTATGTTTTTAAGTAGAGGAATAGTCAAGAAGGTGGTTGATAATATTATATTTTAATCTTAGAAAAAAAAAGGGTTGTATGGAGGTATTTTAATTTATGATTCATAATTGTAATTCAGTTGCCCCTCTCACATTCTCGTGGCACACTCTTTTGTCTTCTATAAGCAATTCAGTACTTGAAGACCCGGCTGTGTATCTTGATCATGACTCACTCCAATGCTACATTCATGGTGGCAAGTGCGACGCGAGAGGCGATGGGCATATTATTAAGAAAATGAGTACAGATCTCATAAGGATAGATTTGTCTCGTTTTTTGATCACGTCTCCTGTTAAAATAGGGACTTCATCAGGAGGTCTTAGAGTATCTTTAGAGACTGCAGCACCAAAGTCGAACTTGAATGAAGCTTCCGCATTCCATTTGTTATACACAGATAATCCCATCTCCAAGTGTCCTTTGATCACTTCAGAGGCAGATTCAGGGATTATATCAAACCAGCCTGTCCTACGCCATAGTCATATTTTGTTTCGGCATGGCTCATTTCTCGTTCTTCACGGTGGTTGGGACGATAATGGGATGGTCTGCAACAATATGCTTGCGTTTCACTTAATTTCCAGATGTTGGGAGGACATTAAAACACTCTACGGTGGAGACGCGTCCCCTCGCATGTACGGCCATGCAGTTGCCCCTATTAATACAGCTAAGGGACTTTTTCTGGTAATGGGTGTAGAGTGCAATCCGAATGGCACTTTTATGCCTTCACGCAAGCGTTCAAGATCAAAGGGCCCTGGGACAAACTCTTGCAGGACAGTGATGGGCCGACCACCCAACGCACAACGATCGGGGTTAAGCATCTACACTCTACGCTTAGAGGATCGACTTGAGGGATGGCGTAAAGTGGGGATATCCGACGCGGCGACACATGGCCCCTGTGCTCGGGTCTATTTCTCAATAAATATTCCACACTCAAGTTTCACTGCCGCGTCTGATGCGAGTTTGGATTGTAGTGAAGAACCCCCTATAGGAGGTGTGGCCTATCTCGCCGGTGGTAGAATCAGTTCTACCTATCTCGTGGATGTGTGGCGGTATGATCTCACAACGGGGCACTGGCGCGAGGTGGTGCTTCCGCCGCATCCGACATGCGATAGAAAACTCTCTCCTTCTCTGGCCGTGCATTCCCTACAAACACGAGCCCCTTCAGAGGTTCGGCGAGATCGACGTGTAAACCCTTATGCGGTGCGATTGGTGCCTCTGATTTACAGTCCCCCAAAGGGGCCAGCGCTGCAAAATGGGGATGGTAATCCTTTAGATGAGAGTGGTAAATGGACAGAATGGATGACCTTTTTGCTGAAGGTACCACGCCGTGAGTCATCGCAGAATTGGTCTTCCTCACCTCTTCCCAGCTTAGCGGCTCTATGCCAAAAGGATGAGTCGGAAGGCAGTCTACCGATGGGGCTTCTACCCGAAGAGACACCCACATTGCTCACTGTACCTGTTACCAAGTGCGGCAAGCTAAGTATGGCTTTAGAAACATTCCTTGCTGTAGATTCTGAGGCCACCCCATGGCTCTTTTATCTTAGCAGAGATAAAAGGCTCGATGTTGTTAGGGTGCAGGGGTTGTTGTTGTCAAGATTTCAGGTGAAGCGCTGAGATGGCATCAAGTCAGTGTCCAAAGATCGCTTGCGCGGATTTGGATCATTGTGAATTTCTGTACACAATGGATTCAGAGTTATATGTTTACTTATATTGTACCATATCTAGGGTCATCTTTTAATGAATCTTAATGAAGGAACCACGCTTAATCATAACTCTTACAATGTTGGCTTTTTAAGCACTACTTACGTATCTGTAAACATGTTGTAGTGACATAGGCAAATGCAATAGCAATTTCATATTTATCCATATGAGATTTATTTGCTCTTTTGTTAATTAACACTTTACCATGGCTTTAACTAAATACACTTTACTCTTGTTTTAGTTTCTTTATAAAAGCTTTTACATATATATATGTCTAGGAAAAATATATATTGTCTGATATCAAATAGGATTTGACTACTATAAGTTCGATTTTTTTCCTTTAGTATATCTTGAGGAAAAAGCGTCTCTAACCATCCTTTTCTTTCTATATACATTACTGTAGCTTTTTTGTGGTAATATTCAGTGGTAAAGCCTCAGAGTAACTTGTCCAAGTCACATTTGAGCTTAGTCTGCGCATCGACAATTTGAACATTTACATACAAATACAACTGTTCCTTTTAAGATGGATAAAAACGACTCGAACACTGTGGAAACAAAATCAGAGGAAGAATACACTGTTTCACAGCTCAAAATAAGTTTTCCATGTCCGAATGAATATATGAAAAGCACTATTGATTTGGAACCCCTTAAACAGGCTTTCTTGACGGACACTGCTTCTGAACTGGGAATAGACGTTGAAAATTTCTCTAATCTTACTATAGAAAAATCCTTAACAGTTAATTTTTCGTTGCGACACAAGAAAGATCGAATTAAATCAGATCTCAAGAAGGCCTTACGTGGCTGTGCTTACTCCTCAGTATGGCGAATCCTGTTGGATGATTCAAAGGTTCAATCCCTTCCGTCAGAATCAGCTCACAAAGAACCTGGAGATATCTTAAAAAAATCTGTAAATTCTTCGAATTCCCCAGTCCCCGATAAAAACACGTCAGATATGATTAACTTAAATGCACTTCAAGAAGCGGAGAAACTTTTGCGTCATGACAAAGACGATGTACTGAAAACCGAGACTTCTAACTGTAAAGATGGAACCTTTGAATCAAAGATTTCCTTCCCAGGCGCCCTTTGGGAATCAGTCCTAAGGGATCACTCTGATGAGATTGAAAATGCAGTAAAAAAAGATTTGGAGAACGCTCTTGATCAGCATATACAGAAGAGCCAAAAGGTTGAGGGTAATATCCTCAAGTTCAGCTTTAACACCGTTAAAATGAGCTTATGTGTCGTATACCTCTTGACGCATGAGTCCAACCTGCGCTCAAAGAATCTTTCTAAAATGCTAGTTGATTATACTTATCCTCTTACGTGGAGTCTTTATCAGAAATACCAAAGCCCATACAAGAATCATACTCCGAGTCAAGACAACATACTTGCCGAAGCATGTGATAATAATTCTTCAATGCCGGTTGTGCATCCTTTCGAAGAAGGATTTATCATATCACATTACTGTATAAACTTCAGTGCAGGTGGATGGAAAACTATTATACGTTCTTACAAGAGCGAGTTAATCAAGGCCTTTACAGAAGATATTTCAGAGGCGTTAAACATCTTCTGCAAATTCATCGTGGAGAAACAGGTCCTTCACCGATCTGACGGGCTACTCTCTATAGTTTTTGATATTGAAAATCGTAATATGACTGATATAATAGAAAATAAGCTCAGACTCTCAGACTGTTCTTTTGTACAGATGTGGAAGCTTTACAAATCACTCCTTCGTATTGTGAGTGTTGAAGTCATTCGCGAAGAGATTGAATTTAAACATCAACGGGATGATGTAAATGCTGTAAAAAATGTATTTACTCACTATCGTTTTCATTTCAATGATTGTACATGGTCTCAGGTATCAAAAGAATCCTTTAACTTGTTGTGTGACGCCTTCGTTAATGATGTGGTACAGGTATTAGATTTATCAGAGCCTGGCAATGTACAGGTGCTCTCAATAAAAAATCAGAAGTACCTCACTATCGATGCATGTATCGCTCACGCAACAATTTCGATCTCGAAAGCGGTTGAAATTTTGTTGGCTTGCAGATTTATTCGTGTGTGGGGTTATAACCCTGCACCTTATGAGGCTTACCCAGAAAAGGGTGTGGTAGAAGTGATTACGGGGGATCTGGTCACGACTCGTCATTCTATTTGCTTAAATGGTGATAACTGGTTTAAAGTCATAGAAGATCCAGAAAAGCATGCATTTCTTCAAGCCAGTCTTCGCGCGGATTTATCCACCTGTGTTCAAGTTCCAGAGAATTATATTTACGATATCGACTTGAGTGTAGGTAGTCTGGTGGCAAAAATTAAACTTGAACATCCATTGACAAAAACAACGAACGAAATCGGAACACTTATTCTGAATTATAGGTTCCCAGAAACTTGGCTTCTTTATCCTTTTCCTAAGTATGACGGCGCGAGCAGAGAAACTATTGGTACAGAGAGTCTAAAGAAGACAGTTCGAAGCCATCATTCTCTTAATTTCAGTGATACTTTATGGTATTTCTTTCTGGAACTCTATGATAGTAAGATACGTGATGCGTTTTACAGTGACATTTTCCTTGCACTACAGATTCCTTCATGTGACATTTATAATCTTCAACTGAAGAAAGCGCTGATCATTGAATTCGATATGGATCATTCCACAAACTTTGACTCGAGCGAAATCGATCGTATATTGGGACAGTTTCCGTTTCCTCATATATGGAAACTGTGCAATATGCTTCAGCTTATGAAGTTTCATTTACCTGAGAATGACGTTTCACTATGTTGCATTAAGTCTATATCGACGGTCTTTGAGTCCCATGATGATAATCTCACTGATGAAGCGTTAGAAGCCTACCAAGAGGTGTGTTCAAACCCTATTGGTACTGATGGATCTAAAAATGTAGTGTTAACTGAGTCACCAAGTCTTAATATTGGTGAAACCGATCCCAATTCAAGATGCAATACAAAGCCAGATAAGGGGGAGTCCATGAGCGCCCTTAGTCCTATTAAAGTTGTGGCTTTGAATACACACAACGTGAACTATAAGAAGGATCCTGAGTCTAGTCTGGGGTCTTTCACCAAGCATGTCGTGCGGATTCCTGGAGAAAAATGGAAGATAGTCTTAGATACCCGGCTGCATCACGTTCGTGATGCGTTTCAACACGATATCCATTTCGCCACTAAACTGCCGATATCAGGAATCCAGAGCGTAAATTTTTACATTGACAAAGATCTTTTTATCGAGTTCAATCTTGACCATGAGGCCAACTCAGAAACAAGGAGTCGTTTTGATGATTTAATAAGTGTTTCGTCATTTCTCATTACATCTCAAGTATACAACACCCCTTGCACAATATTCACAGTTAAATTGCAAGGGGAAAAGTGGAAAGAAATTTACAAGCATAACTCAGAGCTCTTGAGAGCCGCATTAGCAAAAGACATTGAAACAATCGGTTTCAAACCGGATCCATACCCCACTATAAGCTTTGTAGACAATTTTTTTGTTGCTGACATGAATCTATGGGTTCCTGACACCGCTGCCCAAGAGAAAGCTACTAAAAGGATAGAAACCGCTGATTATGGTTATCTTAACTTAGTGCATAATCAATTTACCCAAGAATACTCATTGGGGGATTGTAAGGAGGATATAGGTTACACATCGCACAAAATATCTCTACAAGGGGATGACTGGCGCCGCGTTGTTGATAACTCGGTTGAGTTGCTTAAGATTGCCATTTCTTGCGACGTATGTAAATGTCTGAATTCAAGTCCTGATAATCTTGTAAATATGTACTTTGAGATGGGAAGCCTGAGAGTGAATTTCCATTTGAAACACAAAGCAAGGACATCAAAGAAAATTATCAATCAGGAACTGGGATTGGGAAGCTATGAAAAAGCATGGGGTCTCTACCGACTGGCTTTGTCTGCAGCTAAACCTAAGGTACGCCTTATTTTGCCAAAGAATGAGACGGAAAACATCGAGAGCCCAGAAGAACTACCCGTTCGGGCCATGGACCCTAAAGATCTACTGCAGACTGAGGAGGTTCA